GCAGTGGATGAAGAGAAAACCATGAGAAACGGCCCAGAACCCGAGAAATGGGACCCCTTCCTTGCCCGTTGATTTGCGCATTGATGCGACTCTCATCGCTGTGCCCTCTTCAACACTACGCTCTCTCTGCTATCTAATCACTCGCCACGTATAGACCTGCGGCGAGTGATTAGATAGTCGGTGGGCGTACCCCGCCAACCGCGCCAAGAGTGAGCCATGCTAGATCGCCGAGGTCAAATCTTTCGCTGCCAATTGCGCGTCGGTCAGCACCCTCAGGAGGTCCGCCTGTCTCCCATATGCAATTTTCCCCTTCTTTGACCTTCGTTCTTATCGTGAATTCTCCTTCAAAGCAAACGTATTTCAGCGATTTAAGTAAGAGGGAAACAGGGCAACATGCACCATCTACGCCTTCATGGCTGAATAAATAGCTGATGGTCTGCGTACGTCCACCCTGAAAGCTATGTCATACGTCGTACCATCGAATAGGTGTAAAGCAGCCGTTGTGCGATCGCCGACGACCCGAAGCGGTCGATCGCCACGCCTAATACTGGTCCGCCCCCCCCAATCAGTGGTTCACGCGAGGAATATTAGGTTGTCCCATAATTAGTGAATCACTTTGGGTATTTTTGAATTCGAATTTTTTTCTTTTTCATATGGAGTCTCTGCTCATCCAAACATACATCCCTGTCATCTACAATGTATTGCCTATACAGGGAAATTTTGTCGCTGTCTTATCTCTAGAAATCCAGGAGCTATTGATCGAAGAAAGATCGGAAGTCGAGTTTGAGGTCATGTCACTTAGCGTAAAATTCCTCCCTGGGGAAGAGCGCTAGAGGTCAAACTGAGTTGCCTCTTGTTGGCACGAGGATAGGGCCACACAGAGGAAAGTGGAAGATCGGCTAGCTTGAGAGTCTCTAATTTTTTATGAATATTCTCCGCAAGGTGGGTCGAACGACCTCAGGAAAAAAGCAGACTTTGTCTTGCTTTACTTTCAAATTGAATGCGCCGCCATTACGCTGTAGATGTTGATCTTCTTCAGTGACTCTAGTATTACTAGGCGGCGGTTCCCAGCGCATGGTCACTCTCGTGCTCCACCAATATCTCTGAAGGGTCGGACTAGAATGAGGTTTGGCTTTTGCTATCAGAACTCCCGAATCGTTCACGCTGGGCTACTGCTCCTCGGAGATTTGCTAGTACACTTCACGCAGTCCAGAACCCTGGTGAATAAGCTGGATGATCACTGTAAGGAAACTAAGGGAGATCAGAAGGAACATGACGATGTCAGATCGTGTGCGGAGCTGTTTCGAGCTCAAAGCACACGAGATACAAATTTAAATATTTTAAAATCGTTACAACTCTACGTAGATGTCTACATTCCATTATTTTAACAAGTCGGGCATGCTCTAGCAAAAGGCGGCTAGTTCGTCCATATTCACGCTTAGTGGCGCTGGGTATAGCACTGAGATTGCCAGTTGAGGGGTAGTTGGAGTGTGGGTCATCTTCAACTAAAAAAAGCCAACCTCTCGATAGAGTGAACTATAAGCAGACCGTGGATTGAGGGAGCGTGCCCTCGCCTATCTGCTGGTTGATTCTCTATGTTGTTGGGCGTTTGAAAGATCCTAATCAGAAGTGATTAAGAAGGGAGCTCAAAAATAGGTTCCAGAAAAATTGAAATGTCAGCCACGGAAGGCAGCATGGAAATGGGCTGAGTAATTGCTCAAGTAGGACAATGTGGATGCTACTTCGCAAAACATGTTTCACGCCTTCACCAATTTTCTTGGATTTTTAATAACAATAAATGTAAAGTGATTCACTAATTATGGGACAACCTAATAGAATCGCATCTGTGACCGTGTGCTGGGTTGTACGCTCTCTCGTATCTCTCTGCCTTACCTCGGCGCCCTTATCTTTTGTATTCCTATCTGCCCCTCATTCTCCTCCACATCTTAGAACGAGTAGCCGTATTTTCTGTGTTTTTAACAACTTCTTTCTTTTTTTCGAATGGCGATTACTTCCCACCCCTACTTCCATCATAATTTAACACTCTTACCCCAACAGTTTGATCTTGAGGTGTGTCTCGTGATGATACACGGATTGTTTTGCAGCAAGGTATAAGCGAAGGTGTTTAAAACAGTTGGCCGCTCAGTGAAGAGCACTTCAGTATTGTCAAGTAATGTTGTTTCCAGATTCCTCACTATGTTTCCACTACGTCTACGAGTTCAAGCCGATCGTCGTATGTGGAAACTTGTGGCCGTTCATCTGCCATGAGTAGGAATGGTGCCGATGGTAGGCAACCTCCTGTCTGTGATGGAGATGACACAGTGTTGGTTAAGTTTGCGGCTTGATCTCATTTTCCTCTTATGCACGCAAATAAATACGTTACGCCAATAGAAAGGTAAACTCTCGAAATTTGATTCGCATTTTTCAGGCGTACCAGTTCTGTGTTATCTACTGTTTCCCATCCACCTCTGAAAAGCGTCGGTCAGGGACGACACAATACTTACCTATGTCAGTAGGCGTCATCTTCATAATCTGGTTTTATTTGTGTGATTCAAAGTTGATTCAGTGGAAGGTCTGCCCGAATATGACGAAATACTAAATCTCCCTGGTCTGAAAGAGAGTCCCGATTTGATGAAACGTCTCGATGAGTTGTGTTTGAAACCTAGGTCAACTAGTAAAATATCCTGTAGATCGTCTTCAGGTTAGTTGTTTTAACACCTTACCACCTCAGCAGCGGCCTCATAGGTATGTCAAATTATTTAGAATCTGTGAAGCTTCCTGATTTGAATGAGGTCTGTCGATCCGGGTGTGGATCTCGCTCTTTACAAGCGCCCGTGTGCCCACATGTAGTGACACCACTGGAAGAAGGTTGTCTGCTTTTTATGTAGGTCTGCCATCCCTCACAGTTACTGTATTGTTTTCAGAGCTACGACCAAGGCCGTCAGATTCGCTTTTGGAAGCATTATCCCTTGTACTTCTTTCTATCCCTTCTTCTCGTCGCCGTAAACTTCACTACTTGATACGGTTCATGAACAAACTCTCAGCTAATCACTGCCTACAACTTGACGAATTGCACTCTAATCGGGAGGCGGTTGGTGATAAAATGAGCCTATCATTGAGAACTCATGTCATTCTGGCTTCTTACGAATACTTTCCAGGTGCTGAGAGGTCTGTCTAGGTGTATAGTATCTCTTCGTGGATCTCCTACAATAACTGCTCCGCAACGTGCTCACCTTGTCTCGATTCTCCTAGACCATGAGAAAAAGGTTTTCGGTGTTCCAAAAGGTCTGGTTTCAGAAGTCGAGGAAGCTATTCGTGAACGTCAACGTGAAAAGGTTAGTTGAGGTCGAGGATCAACCATATATCCTAGCAGCGTTACAAGAATACAAGAGAAATCTTTCATGCAAAATTTAATTTTCCAACAATAACTGATCATAAGGTTCTTGTAGAATCATAGTGGACGTGTTCGTTTATGTCTCTGACAACGAGGTCAACCAATGGCGCTTGAATGTAATTCTCTCGGTGAAGCTCGCTATTTGAGGCTTATAAAGCTGCTTTCCGCGAACAACTTCTAACAGAAAGTGTTGCATCCAAATCAACTGAATGACTCGAAAGTGAGACAGAA